TGATGATGATGATGATGATGACGGTGATGATGATGATATAAATATATATATATTTTTTTTTTTCCTTCATCCTCTCCGTAGATAAATGTTTTTTTTCTTTTGCGTCCCACAATGTCCTCCAGCAGTAAAATTATTTTAATCATCATTTAATTCATTTCGTTTTTCTTTTTTCTTTTTCCAGTTTTCACTCTCTTAGGCTATAAAATTTATTATTAATTAATTACTTATAAAAAAAAAAATTAGCGACGTGACTCGCGAGGAGCATTCCTTAGGGGTCTTAGAACTTCTGACTGGAATCATCGTTTTTTTTTTTTTTTCTTGCTCCATTACCTCTCACTCTCTCTCTCGCTCTCTCTCACTCTTTTTAATCTCTCGCTTTTTTTCGCACCTTATTTCAAAAACTCAACAACACCCTATATATATATATATACGCACGTACGTTCGTACGTACGCACGCATGCACGCACATCATAAATTTCACGGTTGTAAATTATCAATCTTCTGCCACGGTTGAAAATAAATAAAATGCCTCATTACGCGTACGAACGAATAACGGTCGATTAAGTTTCATCCATCTTTTTATTATTATTATTATTATTATCATTTCTCCACCAGATTTCTTTCCAGTTTTTTTTTTTATCACATTGATGACGATTATTGATTTTTTCACACGGTTCGAATATTAATAATAATAATAATAATAATAATAATAAATGAAAAAATCTAGAAAAAAAAACGTCCGAGTTGTAATTGGCCGAAAAAAAAAATTTCTTTTAATTTTGAATTTTAATTTCGTTGACAGATTTCCAGGGGGAGGTGGGTGGGTGGGGTGAAGGATGAAGAGGGGGCGAGGGGGCGGAACGGGGAGGACGAAAGGAAACGAAGGTATTATTATTATTATTATTGATTACGCTCTTTTGGATTTTTTAATGGTGGCACCGTTTATGATGATTTTTTAATACCCTCGAGGTCCATCAATTATCATGTACCTGATGTTACTCCGATGTGATTATTATTATTATTATTATCATCATCATCATTATTATTATTATTTTTCAAGGTTACGAATTATAAATGATAAATTTTATTATGGAAAAAAAAAAGAATTCCAATTAGTCGAATTTGACAGAAATATATAATTTGTAATTAATTTTTTTTAAATTGCTACCGTACACGTTTTGTCGTTTGTTTCGTCATTCTCGCATCTACAAACAGTACAAACGAGGAGAGGAGAAAAACATTACATTATTTTATCGTTTGTCGAGCCTTTACACGTCGTGAACGTTTAATAAAAATCATATAAGTGTTTCCGGTTCGTTTGAATTTTACATATCACGCGTCCGTTTCCGTTTTATTTCCCGTCTGCAAATTTTCCCCCTCTCCCCTTTCCTTTTTTTATCGATGAAACAATCCGACAAACGTTAACCGCAAATTTTTTTTTAACTTCTCGCGTGGGGAGGCGATGGGGGAAAAGGGGAAAGGGGGTGTTGAAGAAAAAAAAAACTTTTTTTTGTTTTTTATTTATTACTTTACCGAGTTCTGACATCTTTGTTTTTTTTTTTCCAGACCTGATATTGTCTCTTGATACTCATGCCATTAATTATGTTTATTGCTTCGTGTGATGATTGTTGAAAGTTTTTTTTTTTTTTTTATTGTCGTTGTTAATCATTCGTTATTATTATTATTATCATCATCATCGTCATAGTCATCATTATTACAAAAAAATTATTACTCGTCGTCTCGTCGGCTTTCGAAAAAAAAAAAAAATTTTTTTCTTTTCTTAATATTTGATACCGCGCGAACAAACGCGACAAATTTAAAATGGACGATTCGTCGTGCCACGGATTCATTTTATAATACGTCGTTTGTCTTACATTTTTATAACCATAAACATT